TTATATGATAAAAAAAACAAGTTCTTCTTTATCGACTGTTTATGTCTTAATATTTACAATACAACTAGAGAGCATTCTTAAGCATTCTTTCTTACATAGGAAAATAAAAACTCATTTTGTTTTACTTTAATATTCATATAAATTTATCATATAAATTTGTTAAATTTAAAAAATTAAAACATTTTTAATAAGGAAAAAAAAGATCATAATTTTGATTTACTGAAAATTATTTTCCTAATATAATTTGGTTCAATTCAATCGTAAGACAATTTATAGTTTATTTTAATAAATTAATATATATATATGTATATATTTATATAAGAAAACTTACTTGTAGTATTTGTTAAATTTTCATTTTTTTACAATTAATATTATAATTTGGATATATTTAAAGTATTATATAATCGATTTCATAAAAAATTATTATAAACTTATCTTTAAATTAACATTTATTCAATTAATCAATTAAATTAATATAATTTAATAAATATTTGATTTAATCTATTTTTTTTTATTATAGTTTACTATATTTTTAAATATATTTATATAAAAATGAATATTGCATTAATATCAGAATATTTGGAAACATATCAAGGAAGAGACAAATTTTTAAAAACATTATCTTATATGGCAAAATTTGCCACATTAGGTATATCTTCAAATGAAACAAATAAAAAGTTAAAAATATTTAGTAATCAAATGAATGAATGTAGAATGATTTTAAGATTATTAAATGATATACCAATGATTCATTATGCTATGAAGTATGAATGGAAAAAAGAGGTATATATATTAAAATAAATAATATTTATAATATAAGAAATCATATTTGACAAATTTATGGTTTAATTTTTATTTATATATTTATGTAATATATAGATTTCTACTATTTTTCAACAGGTATATATAAATTTTATATCATCTAATAGGAATCAGATTGGTTGATAAGATATGCAGAGCTAACACAGATTTTAGTAGACATCATATTTTGTCCAATAGAACATATTTTTTGGGCAGGTAAACATAAATTAATTAAAATCAATAACAAAATATGGGATAATGCTTCAACATGGCTTTGGATAATTTCTCTGCAATTATCATTATTAAAGTATGATAAAAAAAAAATATTAAATATTTTATTCTTCTTTGAACATTTTTATTGCATGTATGTTTTTAGGTCTTTGCGAAAAATTAAATTCAATAATTATAAAATTCATCTTAGTGAAATTAATTATAATACAAGGTAAATTTAAATATAAATACAAAAACATTTATAGTTTGATTAATAATACATGTTATATTTTTTTTTCTATTTAAATAGATTAACTTTGAAGACAATAAACAAACAAAAATGGAATGAATTATTGACTTGTATAAGATTAATATTAGATATAAGTTATGCAGTTAGTTATTTGCCATCTGGTATATTATGGGCTGGGCAGTTAAAAACTTGGCATATTGGAGTACTTGGATCTTTATCATCTTTAATTGGTTTATATCAAACTTTCAACAAACAAGAAGAGCATAAAAATTTTTAATAATAACTAAAAAATGAATGAAAAATGATAGAAATTACAAAATATTATTATATTAAATAGAATAGAATATTATATTATTAAATATAACTTTAAATATATTTATTTATTTTAATCAATTTATATAAGAAATATTATGTAATGAACATAAAATAAATTAGAATTAGAAAAAAATCTTAATTATTTAATTTTTTTCATATCACTTAAAGTATAATTTTTCATATTACAAAGTACAATAATGTTAACATAATAAAGAACTATTTATTGTTTGTAATATATCAATTTTGTGTTACAAGGTATGTTTTAACAAAGATATATGTAATACGTAAAAAGCTAAAGCAATATAAATTATTGATTTTCTTTGATTTTTCTGTAAGAAAAAGCTTATTTGATTTTAAGCTAATTAGTGTACTTATATAAGTTTACTATTGATTGAATTGTTTTTACAAATTACTCGAGTTTCAATATCCATAAATTATAGATGTACATACGTTATATTATTAATAAAAGTGAAAGAATAGGAGGCACTTTTATGAACATAAAAAAAATATTTTGCTACCTAGGGTACGATGTAATCATTGCCTCGCGAGTGATTAAATCTCTTAAAAGTGATAAGAAAGCTTGACATTATGCGTACCAATAGCAGTCTTGTTTTTTTAATAATAGATCACCCTGTATCGCGTGGTTATCAATGATTTAAAAATAATTTGTGTTTTCCACGTTAGAATAAAATCTATGGAGATTATATTAAAAGGCACGACTTATTAAAAGTTTGTAAATAAGATAATATTTCCGATAAAAGAGCATCTTTAAAATTTCTGACGGCTTATTTTTTGGCCGTTAATTCGATAGTTTTTAGTCTAAGAGTTTTTGTCGTTCGTTTATTCAGAACCATTCTTAGGCATTAGCAAAAACTGATCGTTTGTTTACTAAAAACTTTATGATTATATTCGAAGCTTTTGTAGAATATAATATATATATTATATACTATCTTGTATGTTGTATTAAAGCACTTCATAGGAGTATTTTCTTATATATATAATAACCATGTTGTTTGATAATTGCATTTGATGTAACGCGATATTTTTTTTGTATTTGTTCCACTTTCTTAAACCAAGCGAAATTTTAATGACTTAGAAATATGAGAAATATGATAAATTCATCCTTGCCTTCAATATGTAAGTAATTCAAAGAGTATAGTAATATAACTTGCAGTTGATTATATGAATTTTAAATTATAAATCTTAATTAAGTTTATATTTCTACCTTGGAACATTTACCATTAACAACGTATGATCTACAATTACTTTTAATATAATATGAAATGAATCATAATTTCTATAGATAACAAAGACTAATTGTGAAATATACAATGTATTTCAATAATGTCTTTTTATACTATATCCGTTTTGAATTTTCTAAAAATTAGAAATTGCAACAGTTTATACTTTTAATATAACTTCAAATTTTTAGTTTCAAATTTCACAAATTTCAAATATTAAAATTTAATTTTATTTCTATTGATATTGATTATTATGATTTATGATTTATTATAATTATTTTAACTTTTTATAATTTTTTTTCTCTTAATAATGAGGATATTCATAATTACTTAGCAGAATATGATAATCAATTATTAACTATTAACCAAAACAATAATGCATAATCAGTTTAAGTAATAAGCTATAATTTAAATTAATTTATAAATAAATAACAAAGTTAAACAAATTAAATGTAAAATAATATTATAATGTAATATCATTTCTGCTATCAATTGATCTTTATCTTATGATTTTGTTTATATTATTTATCAAATTTTCATGATATAATAACATTTAATATCTAGCAGTTTGCATAAGCACACATTCTTAAGGCCAGGAGTTTGAAAAGGGCAGAAGGGTCATTTGGAGAAAATAATTATTTTCTCAAACGATAAAGAAAAGGAACAAAATAATGAAACAAGAAAGGAGGAACGACAATGGAAGTCTATCTGCAAAAATATGATTTTTAATTCACTCAACAAAATGATATCAAAACATCAGAAACGCGATTAGAAGTAATATTACGAAATCTTGTTGAAAGAAAATACATAACATAATATCGTAACAAAAAATAAAAACAGAATCAATTTACTACAATCCGCTCCAGAATCGTAGACCATGTACTTCTCCATTTCGTCAACAGTTAAACAGTCCCTCTAAACGAAAGCTCACAAAGGCTTACCGCTTTGACTAAGAATATAAATTATGATTATAGTGGCCATTGGCAATACCCTTATACTGTACAATCTAACATAAAACTACAACGACGGGCAATATCATCGACAAATATCGATATATAGCCTGGGTTCTAATTAGTACTCAAATTAAATGCGTTTTTCGCAAAAAAAATAATAATAATTAAATTATTAATTCCTCCTGCCGCTAGAATACCACAATAATCTAATCTCATCGAATAGTTTACGATTAAGCGTAATATTTCGCCGATAGATTACTTTAGCGGCGTATTGTATTTTTGTGGTTTTTTTTTTTTAATATTATAAGCTTAGTCCTCCTCTCTTTCTTTTTTATTTTTTTAAACAATCGAGTGGCTTCTCATTTTATCGTATAAAAATTATTGTCACTATAAAAGCCACAATTGGACCCACACGAATTCAATGTAAATGCACACTCGTAACGCATAATTATCATATAATGTGATGTGTTACTCAATGACACAATTATATTCTTCGGAATAAAACGATTAACAAGAGAACCAGTCCCTAAATAAACATACTAAATAAAAATACTGTTTGTTGAGAACGTGGTGGTGGCCGCGTTCGAAATAGGAACTTTATATGAAACACGATTTTTATCTATTAATTAGTCTCTATACCGCGGACGTACGTGATAGTAACGATAATAAACAAATCGTTGCATTTGCCGATCAGCTGGTATATCCGGTATTTCAAAGTATATCGTCAAACCAGCTGCCCGCAGCTCTGCGATAAAAACTAAGTTTGCACCCTGTCAATAAGTCAGCTAGCACAACGTCCGTGCAAAAACAAATAGTCAAAAAAAATTGAATGTGTGACCATGAAAGAGAAGCTCAATTGTATATTAATAGTAATTGTACTTAAATTGTGGGATTATTCATTCCACGGGTCCAAGAATTTATATTTGGTGATAATCCGACAACTTGATTTGTTTTGGAATTACGCATTAAAGGCTTATGATGCCACATTGATTCCATCGAATGCTGCCATTGCCAGCAACTGCGACAGAAATACCGGAAGCACACCTAGGAACAAAATAAAAATAATAAGATATCTTTTGTTTAAAAGTATGATATATTTTTCATACCACTTCACGACAAAAATAGGGTCCTTGTTGTACGGAGCATCCGGAACACATAGAATCTTCTAAATACGGATCAACTTGCACCTATAAAAACAATAAAGATTTTATTTAATTTTTTTCTTCTAGAATTTTTTTATATATTATATTTATTTTATAAAATTGTGCAAACCTTTTTTGTAAATTTGGCAGTTTTTATCTCTATAAAAGCAGCTGAAATTGCTTTCATATATGAATGTTTTGTACTAAATGTAACACGACCAGATCCAATTGGATATTTGTGTTTGTCAGTATCAATACCTATAATTAATTTTAGTAGTATGCATTTAACAATTGAGATATACTGTAGCTTTTTACCTGCATAAATAACGCCTCGAAATAGATCATCCATAATTTTTGCTAAACCAGCAGCAGTTAGCATACCATGAAGAGCACCCACAAATACTGTTTTGTGAGGATCAAGTTTTTGTGATGATGATTTTACATAGTTACTATCTTCAAGAATCCAAGGTATTACTTGTACCTATATTACAAAAGTATTATAATTATAATGTTATAAAGAAATAATACATTTAAATTTAATAAAATAAATTTCATAAAGTAATTTAATTAATTAAAAAATGATGTATACCTCTTTTGCTTTCATACGTTTAGACGATATTTTGTAATACCAACTTCCACCATTGGTAAAATCATGTGTACAACATGCTAACAAAGTTCTTACCTTAAACAATATATATTCTTTCTCGTTACAAAAGAATAAATTTAAAAAGAATAAAAAATATTTAATTACCTGTTTTTCAGATTCAAATATAATATATACATATCCCTTTGGCTGTGTAGCGGATTGATCCTTTCCGGGCCATTCTACTCTTATTTGACCAAACTGCTTAAAAGTAGCAATTAAAAGAGATTCTGTAATATCCCAAGGTACACCACCAAGAAATACTTTAGATGAATAACCTGATGGTCTTTGAGTACGTTGTGGTAATATACCGCTCCAAGTACATGTTGGATCACAAAGTGCTGAAATAATAATTCTTTAAATATTGCTAGCATATTCTTTAATTGCGTATTATATTTTAATAAGTGAATTATACCAGCAGCACTTCGATGAAAACGTGCTACACGTTCAAGTGACATTTGTGGGTCTAAAATATTTATAGGAGGTGAATTTAAAGCCATATGATTTCCAGTAGTACAACAATTTTTCTCGTGTGATAGAAAAGAATTCAGGAAATTGCCATTTTGATTCGATCCGTAGTGATGACTGCGATTATGTCCATGTGAGTGATGATGATGCGTCGACGATGAATTTTGATGGGATGAAGATAAATACTTTTTCACTGCCATTCGTTGGAACGCGGCTGCTCTATTGTTCGTACATAAATCCACTTCTGGTGACATCAACGAACCCAGAGACTGAGGGTAACATTCGTGTGATGATGAGTTTAATGATAAACAGTTCTAAAATGAAATAATTTTTTTTTCTCTAATTTTGACGAACTTATATAATTAATATTTATAAATTAAAAAAAATACCATTATATCGGATAGAGACCCATCCACACTACTTATACCACTCGTGTCTGAGTCCGCTGGTGAATTTGATCTTGATCCACTGCATCCCATCACATGAGAATATTCGAAAGTGGGACTACTACAATCGCTGATATTGAAAAGAAAAAATAAATTATGCATTAGTATAATCATCTTGTTATATTATATACAATCATAAAATGGTTTAAAAGATACCTGTAAGGTGGTGACCCACGAATAGGTCTCCCATAATAAGGAGAATGAATGGGCGATGAAGGTGAACCCACATGCTGCAAAGATCCTCGACTTTTTAACGATGATGCTGTTTGATTACTACTATTCGTAGATGAATATGAATAAGGGTTCGAATAAAGACTTCCAGGAGTGCTAGGGCTGCCGGGTGTGGTAATAGAACTTGGAGAGCTTGGAACATCTAACATTGATGAATTCGAGCATATTCCGTTCCTATCATCACCCTATATTAAATAACATAGAACAGTTAATTAATCAATTTCTCAAACATATTTAAATAATTTTTTTATAATTATAAATAAAAAGAAGTTAAATATTTCCGATTTCTTTAAAAGAAAAGTTATAATATTATGCTGCAATATAAAAAATAGGAACAACGAAGTATATGATTAGAAGTTCATAAAAAAGTTGAAACTAAAGAAAAGTAAAAATAGAAAGAATGGATTGTGATAGACCCGTTTGGCTCAAGCTTGTAAATTCTTGGCTACCCTGGAATCCGGGTCGTACTAACGCGCGCGGCAATGCGTAATTTATTTTGCCCAACGCATTATATGTCGACTCTAATACGCGCATTTCGATGTCCTGCTGGTCCTTTATGTACAGATTGCATCCAGCAAATGGTGAAGGTAATAACGTTAAAGGCGTCGAGAAGAGCCTGATAAAATGTCCATTAAAGTGACTAGTCGATAAGACATGACTTTCATAGTTTCTTGCTTTTACTTCTTTTGACCACGAATGATATTATTTAATTATTACTAAAATAAATTATAATAATATATTATAGTTTATATTATACTATAGAAAATATTATATTAATTTATATTACAATTTATATTACAATTATTTCGTTTCAACAAATAATTATAAGATTTTTAAATATTTTTAAATATTTTTCGCACATTTATATTATGCAAAAAATTTTGAAAAAATTCATGATATATTTTCAAATATTTATTTTTAGGTTTTATAATTAGATGTTCAAAAAAAAGTTATAGAAATTTTATAATTTCAATAATTTTGCAATATAATAATGAAAATGAATATATAAGACTAATAAATAACTCCAGTATACCATTGCAAGATTTTAATTAAAAATTATGTCTTATTATCCTATATCCTATGTAACATATTAGCCAAGTATAGTATATTATAATTTGATTCTTTCTAATTGCATCAAAAATTTCATAAGCAAAACAAAACTTTATTTCTATCGCCACATGGCTGCCACTATTTCTATCTGTTATCGTTATTTGCATTATCCTAAATTATGTTATCTTAAATTAATGTTAGGGATTCATTGTAACAAAATTTATTGAAAATCAATATATCAGGTAACCAGAAGGTCTCTATTGTACAAAAAATTAGCAACGCGATCGACGGAAAAGGAAGTTTGAGGAGTAGTTGGAATCATTCCAATGAGGATAATCATTGTTCCGGTTATTGCATTGGCAGCAGGCAGACGTTTTAGAATACTGCCTACTTCTATTTGAAATTTTATCATACCTAACATGTGACATTCAAATTGAAAGAAAATACTTTAATAGTCTTTGCATTTCTATACATTGAGCTAATTAAAATATAATGACGGAAGCCATTAAATTATTGTTGATATATCATTTTAAAACTTTTAAAGTCAAAGTAAATTTTATTAATAATACTCCAAATCTTTCAATTAAAATGAAAAATCAATTAACTTTTGACGAATTTAATAAAAGCAATAATAATTTAACAATTTCTATCTTATTATGCTATATACCGTTAAATTTTTATTTTAAAAAGATTAAAAATAACAAGTACAGTTATATTTATGAAGAATAAATTATTGAAAGTAACTTTTGTGATATAAATAACAAAACTATCTTATCTAAATGAGATTAAAATTATTGTCAAGCAAAATTTATACATAATATATAAAATAAAAAAAAAAATTACCTGATAATGTTGAGAGGATCCCTGATTGCGACCCTGATACTGATAATTACGACAACTAGGAGACGCAGCTGTTGATTGACTGCTTATCAACGATCCCCGAGGTAAGCCAAGTCCGAATAAATCCGAAATTGACATGTCTCCTGATGTGAGGGAAAAATATAAAATATGTTATCGTTTTAAACAAAATCACAGAAAAAATACGACACAGCGCCGCAAGGACTATCGATTGACAAACGACGAACGGGCACGCTCGTTAGTTTTGAAACGACCTAGCAGGCAATTAGAACAAATTTTTTCATTTCTCGAGTGTTATGAAAAAAAAAAAGAAAAAGAAAAAACAATGTAATTCGTAAAATATATATATAAATCCTATTAATAATTAAATCTATATGGAAACAAATAAAATATGCAAATATAACAATTATAAAACAAATATAAATTAACCCTTTCATCAATAATCAACATAAAACAAATTATTAGTTATAAGAAATTATTGATTTTATATTTATATGATAAATTCAAATGTAAATAAATTAATGAATCAAAAAATATTAAAATATTTTTATATTCATATTAGCTTAATCATATTCAATTATCAACTCATCTTAGCAAAAGGTTTAACAATTTTTCTATGAATTTATTTAAAAATTAAAATAAAACATATTATTTATATAATCATACAAAAATTAGTAAAGAAAAGAATCTTTTACCATCTATATTGTTATTCTTGTTGGATTGTGTACAAGACACATCATGTGAATATCCCTGAAGGTTGGCCGACGGCGGAGGATCCAACAGCAAGTTTCCAATGTATTGCAATTGATGCAGATGCTCTCGTTCACTGTCGCGATCGCGTTGTTGTTGTAATTTGTCACGATGCAACTGTTCTCTATCACGTTGTTGCAGTTGCAAACTATGTGATTTCTCATTGTTCCAATCAGGCACTTCTGATATTTTCACTCCATCGACATCGCATGACAAATCTAACTGTAGAAGATGAAAGAACAAATCGTTAGAATATTTCAAATCAAAAACTTTAAACAGTTTGTTTCTGGTTATGTGATCACATTTAGTAAATTCATATCACGTAACAAGATATAATATTACAAAGTGATAATAGAGAAATACTGTCACCATTTTTTCTTCACAGAGATACATTTGAATTATTTTATAATTTATTTTTTCTTTTGAAATAGGAAAATAATTATAAGAAAATAATATAACGCGGTTAATTTTTACGATAACAATTAAGTAACGCGTGTGTAAGTAGACATTATAAGAACGCTACATGGAATGTTTAATTTGTAAATTATATTGTGTTTAAATATATTAAAAAATTATGAAAATTTATTTTAATTTTTCTATTTTTTATAAATAGAGAATATATTTTTTAATTTTTATAGACTTTTTAATTTGCATAATTATGATCAACGAGTATTCATGTTCGTTGGTTCGTTTGTTATGCTAACCGATTTTCTTGCGCAATTTCCGGTAAAAGTGATGAAATTTCAGAACTTGTACAATTCCTAAGAAAATAGAATTACGAACAATTTAAATAATTTCGAACAGTAAAACATTTCTTTTAAATTGTGAAATCTAATATATCACCTACCACTGAATTCCTCGATGTCATCGCTACGAATGATATCAGCAAACTGTGTTTCGAGCTTTCGGTACAGAATAACGAAAACAGGAGCCTGAAGGACGCCACTCCCAGTTTGCGTTCGTGGAATTCGGAAAAAAAGTTTTGCAGGGTCGGGGAAGATATTGAGGCATTCTAAAGGTTCAACAAGAGAATTCCAAACTTCGTAGAATTCAATGCTATCAAGTTCAAAGTCGCACAAAACCTAAGGACGCTTATAATCCATGCAAATGATCATTATTTCGAATTACATCAGACAAAATAATAACATTTTCAAAATTCTTAAAGTTTTATAACCCATTGACTTATCGAATTATTCGAGGGTTGCACTGATATCGATAGTTCGGAAACATCGAAATATGCTAGAAATACAATACTATATATATGTAGCAAAAATAGGTGAATCTAATCTTTATGAAATTTCAATTTTGAAATTATATCATGAATCAAAAGATGAAATAGAAATATTAGAAAAAATAGAATTTTAACATAAAAATAAAAAAAAATTTATGGAGTGTAATAATAAATGCCATTATTTATTTATACTATTGTACAAAAATCATGGCTTATTTAATTTATTACATTTTTAATTCATTAATACGACTATTCTCAGATGTACATTTTGTTTTATAATCATAATAATAATCTATCTATTATGTTTGCAAATAGTATCGTATACATTTCTATAAAATTTAGAGATGATATCAAATAAAGATATCAGACAATTTTTGTAACAAATTATAAAAAATTCTTTTTTGTCTTCATTTAATATTTTTAAATTGATTAATGAAGGGCTAAAGGCAGCGCAATATAGATAAAAGGCATGGCTATCAGCTTATGAAACGCAACGTGTTTTGCACGTGGACGGCTCAGACGCGTTGCGGCTCAACGTACGATTCGTATGTTTGTTTACAAGTGAGGACGCAGGACATTCTTTCGATTTCGATTTTACATTGTAGTTTCTACGTTATAATTATTGCTGTATACCGACATGATTTACATAGTAAATTTTCTATTTGAAGCGACATCATAGCACTAGCGAAATTGTAAAGTAGGTTACCAATCGACCAATGAAAAGTCAAAAATAAGGTTTATAGAAAAATAAAGTATAATATTTATATCGAAACATTGAGAAAAAAATATTAAACAATAGGAAAGAAGAATACAGAATTTTTATGGAGGGATAACGACTTACCAATTGCATTAATGTAAGCATGTCGATCTTTGATTAAGCCTTGACGAATTTTTCAATTGTTCCGATTGCTGTTCTCCACCAATTCAACGTGATGACTCGTAATGTGATTTAATCAATTATAAGCTTAATTAATATATATATATATATATGTATACACATATACATATATATATATGTTCAAGCAGATTTTTTCAATTTATAATAAATACGAAAAAAGTTAAATATGCAAATTTAATAAATTAGTTAATTAACAATTATCTTACTACATTAAAAAATTTAAATATTTGATCCCGCCGGATTTTTAATTATTCGCCGGGGGATAATATTTTAATTATTTTAACTCTTAGAATCGCCTATTTTTAATTAATTTGTTAATTTTTTGAAAATAAAATTTATTTCTCCTTATGTTCAATTTAATGTCGATACAGAAACGATGGAGACGGAACGCCCATTCTTCTCCACATTGCTCCACTCTGCGAACTGAATTGAAGATCTGTTCCTCCCTTTCCCCTTTTCACTAGCAGGTTCCATCTTTGGAAACCACCGGCGCAGTTCGCGAACGCGCCCTTGTGGAAATTCATATATGCGATAAAATACAAAATTGAATCATTAATTTTTTAAATTGGTATACATATTTTTAAATTAAATTTATATATTGATAAAAAATAGATTAAATAAATAAAATTTGAAATAAATTTTATTTGAACAAATATTTTTTATAAATTAAATTTTTTTTTGGATCATTATTATTTTTAATATAATTTGTCTATAAATTATTACAATAAATTATGGATATAAATATTCATTATATTTAAATATATATCTATTAAATTTTTATATATTGTATACAAGTAGAAAATAGAAAAATAAAAAAAGATTCTTTGAACAAAAAAGAAATCTTTAAGGCAAAACAATTGTTTTATTGAATAGACAAATCTATTTATCATATAAAAAAATTTGCATATTTTATTCTATATGAGCAGTTGATGAATCTAACATTTCAACTTCAGAACTAATATCACTGGAATAATTCACAATCACATCTCGAGAATTGCGTTCCACTTTATCAGCAGTATTGTCATCAGCTTTGTTAGAATCTTCTCCCCATCCAGAAAATAAATTTACTCTTAATTTATCAATATCTTGATTTGCTGATTCAGCTATATTATTTGTATTTTCTAAAGATTCTGCATTATCTATTTCTTGATGTTTATTTGCAGGATATTTATATTTTGGAATATCAATTGGTGCATCTAAAAAATATTATTGAAAATTATTGAAAATATGTTTGATAAAATATAATAAAAATTAATTATATATATACCACGATATGGAGGTGATTCTTCTATAAGTTGTTCCATAACATAAGTTAACATAGTTGTTGTAAAAGTATCATCTCTTCTAAGTCCAAGAGCTCGATGAAAAGCATCAACAGCTTCTTGTGTATTTCCTATTAATGCATGAATAAAACCCACTGCTGAATAAGTAGATGCATTTAATGGATTTAACATTAATGCCTACAATTATACAGAAATTATAATCAATCATAATTTAAAATAATAATTTTAATAAAAAAATTTTTATTTCAATATTTATTTTTTAACCTGTTGATGATATTCTAAAGCCTCTCCATATTTCTTCATTTTTCTACAAGTATGACCTAAGTTATTTAGGAGTGCCTCCCATTTACTAGGTAGAATAACATCCTTTAGTCCACCTTGAATTCTTTTCATGGCTTCCTTAAATTGCCGTTCAGCAGTTTTGTAACTGTATTCGATGAAATGACAACTCTTGATAAATTAGACAGATTTCCAAAAACCGTGGAAGGGTGGAAGTACACTAATCAGGTTGCAGAGTGAATTTTGAACCTCTCTTTTGCACATTACAATAACTCAATCTCAGGGATAATATTAGAATGCTTATATATCAAAATACTTACTCTAAATTATAAAAAGATATAACTCCCATCTCATGTATAACAAATGGATCATTTGGGGCTATACTCTGAGCTTGTTGGAAAAACTTATCAGCCAATTTAAGATTATTTGTTAAACCACATTCAAGTCCAATGTATAAAAGAGGCAAATGACATCCTTTCATTAATTGAGAAGCTTTGAAATAAGCAGCCATTGCTTGATCATGTTCATTTTCTACTGCAAAAGAATGACCATAAGCTAACCAAGCAGGACCAAATAGTCTATCTAATGCTGTAGCTTTTGCTAAATATCTTCGTGCTGGATCACTTTTTCCTATTATTAAAACAATATAATGTTTCATAAAAAATTTTTTTTTAAATTTTGGTTATATAATAGAATTCTAATTACCTATACTATAATAATAACATCCAACTGCAAACCATGCTAAGGCCATATCTGGATATAAGTCAACTAATTTATGTGCTAAATAAAATAAAGCTGAAAAATAATTCTATAATATACAAAACTCTAATTTATTAATAATTATATATTCTGATTTTTATAATTTACCATTAGTCTTTTTTAATTCTACTAAGCAAGCAATATGTACTGGTAAACACGAATTATGATATGGGTCCTTTTTTAATATCCTAAAATTAAAAAAAGATAACATAAAAAAAGTATGTAAATTAAAATATATGTAAAATATATTATATATGAAATATATATTTAATTATATATAAATTTTTTTATTGAAAAATTACCTTTCTGTAAGTGAAAAACACTTTTGATAATCACAATTATAATATAGTCTTTCTGCTTCTGTAACTTCCATATCCAAATTACCTAATAACCTGTCTGTGACAAGAACTCCCATAACACTACAAGTTGCTAGCACTTGTTTTTTGTATGGTTCTTGATATTTCTTCAATTTACTTTCATATAATAGCCGTAAGAACTCTGCTTCAGCTTCTGTGCATTGTTCACCAAAAGGTAGGGATTCCAAAAGTTCTTTCTCTATTAAAATTAGATCATAAGATTACTTGTGTTTATTTTATATGATGTTTATGAACAGTGTTGCATTTTTATACCTTCAGCAGCTGAGAGCATTTGATTTTGAACTAATGCTTCAAATGCTTGATATGAATATACATCACAATGTAGAGCTTGTTTATAACAATCAGTTGCTATTGCTCTGTTATCCATAGCTTCATGTACTCTTCCTTTCACATATAATATTGAACTTTGTACCTATAATATACAAATTACTTTATATATTTATTATTCTATTATTTTGTATCTACAACATAATTACTTTATAAGTTAAATTTAAATTAAATAATTTAATTTGTGGTTAAAAATAATATATAAAATAAATAATATTATGTATATTAATTATACATTTTTAGGTGCATCTTCTAATATATCTGCTCGATCTCCAAAAGCTGATTGTGTTATATTTGTACATATTTCTGATTCATTAATAACTTGTAAAGCTTCATTATATTCTTTTGCTTCTAAAAGACTTCTTACTGTTAAATAGTGACACATTACATCTGTCTATAAAATAACATTTATAAAATAAGTATTAAAATAAGTCAATAAACTACAATATTGTAATATTATTAAAATATTTTATAATTAAATTTTACCTTTTCTAACCCACGACGTCTGATAAGATGAGCAGCTCTATGATATTGTTTCATTAGATACATACAATGTGCTAATGTACATACATCTTTAGGATCTTCATTACTTAATGAAACAACTTTATCTGCCCAAAATAAAGCGGCACTATATAGATGCTGCAAATAAAATAGTAATCAGTTTTCTCTAATAGTTTAAAATAATTAAATAAAGCTTACAAAATTTAATGAATATTGAAACTTTACCAAATCAATGTACGATTTTATTAATTTTCTACAATTATCTAAGTCAATATTTTTATTGTCTGATAAATTATGCATTTTCTCGCAATCTAAAATACCACTTTGACGCGCCATATTTAATTTAAATTTTAGAGGTTAGGTATATCCTTCTTATGAGGAAATGTTTATATGCTAAAATACTTATTACTGATATAGTATCGCTTCTTGTATATAAAATTTTTATTATATTATTTTAATTAAATTTCAATTTTATTTAAAATTATATAAGTAATTATATAAAGTTGTCATAACTTTTTAATAATATTATTGGTCAAAAATATAGAGAAAATACATGTAGCGCTATATAAGAAAATATCATTTTGTTTCAAAAATTTGCCGCATGCAGCACTGCAGCATATAGTCAAGAATTTTGGATCTTCTTTCCTTACTTCAAAAATTATATAAACAAGGTTAGTAGAGTTAGAAGATGGCAAGAAACGAATAAATCGCGTGCTAATGCAAACGAAGTTAATCAAGCATTATTCGCGACGACCGTGTAACTCTCGGTATTGTCGACGTCCTCGAGATTTCGGTGACGATATATTATTTCGCTTAATGATAATGTGAAAAACCAGAATAAAACTTAAAGAAGGGTAAGAGTTCGGCAAACGGAACAGCCAAAAACTCTTGCAGGCGATGTCAAACATGCGGCGACGAATATTACAAGGAAGTCTACCAAATCGACGGTATATTTCGGCTAAGATTTGTCAGTGAAACTAGTGCCAATGAGTGTGAATATATGGCGGCGCGAGTATTTTTACTGAGCATCTTATTTACAGAAGTGCTAAAGCCCGCTTATGCCGCAGGTGCATCTCCCTCTTTTCTTCCTATCTAATCTGTTTATATTCTTTAAACTGATATATACTAAACCATGCGTTAACGTCTTTTCTTTTGTATTCTTATCAATGATTAGAATTTCGATATTTCTTTTTTTATGAAGCATATATTTGTTAAAATAAGAATATTTAAATATTTAAATACTTAATGTTAAAAAAACAATTGTGTATTTTCTAAGTATTTTGTTTATATTATTATAATATGCATGAAAATAATTTTAAAATAATTTTACTAATTAAATATTTAATTAATAAAATGGTAATTTAATTATGACATAAAAAATTTATTTTATCTTAACATATAAATTAATATAATTTTGTAGAAATACAGTTTGATTATATATAATGATTATAATTATGATATGAATATAATTTTTGAATATATTTCTTAATTATATATTATTTAAAAAGTTATAAGAATTTAAAACATATTTTAACATATTTTTAACATATAATTTTAAATATATTTTATATTTAGGTGTTAAAGAAATTGGAATTGGTTTGCATAATAAAAACGTGTCAAAATCAGAAGGCTTCAATATTAATCCAACCAAAGGTT